TCGAGACTATCAATGGTTTATCGGTTAATGGCTAATAAATTTCACTTTTTTAAAAAAAAAAAATTAAGTGGTGATACCCATTATGTCTAGCACAATACTTAATATTATTACTTCAAGTAGTGAGTAGAATTCCTGTTTCCTTTTTCTGAATTTCAGATACGGATATATACTATATAACACATGCCATCAATGAAGTAGTTGTCTGCCTAAAGCCTGATCTAGTTCGTAACTATTTCAATCCACAAACAACATATAAGCTTTTGATGAAAATGACAATAAATAAAGAAAGAAAACATATATGAATGAGATTGGATCCCAGTTGAAGAATTTCATTCATCAAAAGGCTTTCAAAGGTTTGAAAAGTAAGAGGAGGAATCAAAACACGGCTATTGGACCATTTTCCTTTTTTGTGCCAATGCAATAACGAGTCATATCAGATGATAACTATATCTACAATTGCAACTGGGCATACTTGTTGATATTTCCTTTTGGTACAATCATATTTATTGATATTGGTTGCACATAAAATCAACCAACAGTATCTGGTATGGACGGGCTGGTAGCATCTTAGAAGAAAGAAATGGAGACAATTATTGCACTGAAATCGCCATATCGGATGGAAATGATAGGAAAGAAAATCCAGCTACATCAAGTTCTTAATAGAAAAATGAGTTCAATCGCATCGGATAAAGCCTAGTTATGTAGAATGAAGATTTTACATTGGGTGCCTTATGCTATCGGCTTGTGCTTCATTACACTGCTTCACTCAGTTTCCAGGACAATTGAGGGCATTGCTTGTAACCCTATTACTGATTAGGATACTATCGCTCATTGGTTTTGGTTCAGAAACCAGAGACTTGTATGTTTAATATTAACCATAAGAACCGGAGAACTTTTCTCCATCACTACATATTCTTACTCATCCCATCATTTTTCAGAACGTGTATATGCCCCTAAAATTATCAGAATAGAGGAAAGCAATTCATGTAGCTGAACTCCGACTAGTTTAAAGATTAGGTCCTACCAAAGTTATTTGTACAAAATAATATTACTCTGGAATTGAGGTACTTCAATACATAGAGCTTCCTCAGGCGGAAGCAAACACCTAAATCAACAACTTATTCCAAGAAAAGGTTTGTTAAACAAACTTCAGTACAGTTCATACATGAAAGCAAAGGTTGCTGCTGATCACTTTAAAAGCAGAATTTCAAGCAGTTGTAGTATATGCACATGGACATGGACATCGTGGAATGGGCACTTCCACAACTCCTTCAAGCATCTGTGTGACTTTTCTCATGGTAGGTCTCAGGGACGGGTCTTCTTGAATACACCAGATGGCAACTTGCACAAACCTCTCTACTTTTCCTCTGTCATTCAAGGCATCAGTGTCATTTTCAACCAGTGCATCCAATATGCCTTCACGGTAGCAGTCATAAGCCCAGTCAGTTAAAATTGCTCTTTCTTCTAGACCGCAATCCATATCTACACTTCTTCGGCAACATGTGAGTTCTAGCAGCAGCACTCCAAAGCTATATACATCAATCTTCACAGTTATTGGCAGGTTCCTAAACCATTCTGGTGCGACATATCCTTTTGTCCCTCGTATAGCAGTATTGGTGTGGCTCTGATTCAACAACAAAAGCTTTGCCAATCCAAAGTCAGAAATCTTTGCATTGTAATGCTCATCTAGCAGAATGTTCTGAGGCTTTATATCACAGTGAATAATCTGTGTGCTGCATTCTTCATGTAAATAGAGGAGTCCCCTTGCAATCCCAAAAGCAATTTGAGTTCTTTGGCTCCAACTGGGTCTTGAGTCGCCAAAAAGGAAGCTTGCCAGAGCGCCGTTGCTCAAGTACTCATACACCAGTAACCTATTATCTCCATCATCACAAAATCCAAGCAATCTTACGAGGTTCTTGTGATGCGTTTGGCCAATTACATTCACTTCAGTTTTGAATTCCTTCTCAGTATCCTGTGCCATAGTATTCAATCTTTTCACAGCAACCAGAGAGCTAGAACTCATATCTAATGCCCCTTTGTAAACAATGCCAAAAGCTCCCCTTCCTAATTCTTCTTTGAACTCATTGGTAGCATATACAAGCTCCTTGTAAGTAAAAGAACGCAAATTTGTTCCCACGACACCTTCAATTTGGGGTAATGTTTTGAGTTTCCTTTGGTAAATGAAGTAAAATCCCAGACAAATTGCAGCAACAAAAATGCAATTGAAAAATACAGAGCTACCTAGAATTACTGATAATGCCAGGATCAAACTTTCCTGGTTCTTCTTCATTTTTTTATTTGGAAAATAAGGACCTAAGGGAGGTGGATCGCCTTTCCTAACTTTGACAAAAGCCTTTGCCCCATCAAGACTGGGATCAACTCTTCCATTTGATAGTGGTAGCTTCTTCTTCCAACACTTATCGCCTAGTCTAAAAATGGCAACAGCACACATACAATCATGCAAGCAAGATTCTCTGCATTTTTCTTCGGTAAAAGGCTCTAAGAGTGCATAATCAGCTAGCGGCCAGTCTACATTTGTAAGAACTTCAAAACCATACAAGTCTTCAACAGGAGCTGGCTCTTCTGCACAACTCTGAGTGAAGTTAGGCTTGCAACTGCCATACTGGTCATTTGGATCAACTAAAGTATATCCTCTAGGACATCCACAATTTGGCCTTCCATCGGCGTTGAGACTGCAGATACTGTTAAAACCACATATACCACTGCTTGCAGTTACCAAACTAGCTGTGCAAATATTATCCGGTTCAGACCAAACAGTAGTCCACCTTGAATTCCCTGTGGAAGCCTTGGGGTGAGAGTACAGGCTGAAAATTCCATCGAAACTGAGAGTTGCTCTGTAATAGAAGTCTTTAGCTGAGCCTGTTATTGCCGTTGTTAGAAGGGATCTTTCTTCATTTTCTCTCAAGACAAACAGGTAGCCTGACTCATTGAAGACCACTTGGAAACCAGGACTGGATGAATTGGTATCTCCAGCAGTATTACTTTTATAATATGGCTCATTAAAATGGTCACTGGGCAAGTTTATGGTAGTAAGAACAAGATTTCCATCTGATTGCAAAACCATCCGAAACCTCCCCTCAGTAAAGTTGGAATCTGATTGGCGAGAAGAAAGTGCAACTCCTTTGTCCAGTTTCTGCGATGGCAACATAGTATCAGTAGGATTTTTGAAGCTCTCCCAAAGTATAGAATTACTTCCTAGAAGCATGAGGTTTCCGGCGTCGTCCATAACACCGCTACGAACAACCCCATTTATGGTCTCAGTATTCCATAGCTGTTCACCTTGAGGGCCAGTAAGTACAAACCCCCTGTCAGCAGTTAGCAGCAATCTTGATCCCCTTGGCGCAGGCCTGTCTCCATTTGCATACCAAACTATAGTTTTTTCCGGTATTTTATCATACCAGATTGCAAGCAAGAAGAGATCTTTATTGTTGAGTTGGTTAAAACCAAAGGCAAAATCTCCAGAAGGAGAAATCCATGAAGAAGAATTTTCAACAGCAGAGAGAGAGGCACCTACTGTCACATTACCAACAGTTTGAGCCGCAGCAAGAGTAGGCAGCAAAACTAGAAAGGAAAAGAGAGGAAGGAGAGCCAAAGCCATTGCAAGAATCAAGTGGTTAGATTCGTACCATGACAAATTAGCTTATAACCACCGGTATTCAACCTCATACTCAAATGTGAAATTAATTATAAAATAAACAACTGAATCCTATAAGTTTAATATTTATTTTTTTATATATAATTTTTAAATTAATTATAAGCATTCATAAGTTTAAAAGTTATATATCTTACTTTAAATATCATAATCAATAGTCAATTAAATCTAAAAAGCTTGTGATGAAGTGAAAAACTTAAAAAAAGAATAAGATAGTCTAAAATCCTACCGTTGAAATCTTTGCTTCTTCACTTTTAATAGTTGTCAAATCTTCAATCAATCAAATATTTTTTCTTACTGTAATACACACAGTGACTGAATAAGACTTTCTAAAATGTAAGATTTTTACTAGTGTTAGCAAGTTTTGTTTCAAAAAACAAAATAGATCAAAACAATCTTAGTTGAATCTTCTTTCTGTCAAAAACAAAAAAAAAACTATTTTTTTTTCTTATTTTATGAAACGACCAAAAAGTGGCTGAAAACTTAGAGTTTTAGTTGGTTAACATAACATAATTATATAGCTAAACTAAATTGTTACCTTGGACACAACATTTATATTTTTATTCAATTAAGTCTTGGTGAACTTAATTAATTTTTTCACTTTATTTTGGTCTACTTCAATTAAATCTAATTTAATTAATTATTTTTATTTAATCTTAATCATATCATTTAATGTATCTGACCTATTAGGCATGTAACACGTTGACAATAAATACCAATCATAATCAAATATCAATTTAATAATTAATTTATATTTATAAATCATGAACGGTATCTCCCAATACATTATGACTACAAAAATGTTAAAGAGTTAATTAAAAAATTTGACAAAGTTCTTCAGTGATAAGCTTTTTAATACAATACGGTCCTTTAATCAAATATCTTGGATATGTCATGAAGTATAGCTCAGTGTCTACTTATGACATTCCATATTAATTCTCATAATTTATGATTAATCTTATAAATTTAGAAAACTAACTTTTTTCAAATCCAGCATGCTTTGGCTAAAGACTTTATACAAGTTAATCAAGAATTGAGAATAAGTGAGATTCATCCCCTCATATCACATGAATCCTCTCTTGACCACTCATCCACCTTCGCATGTTTCATGACATACCCAAAAACACCCTATTTAGACATCTTGTTGCCTCCAAACTCATAGCGATGAAATCAAAGCATGTAATTTCCTATACAAGATGATCTGGTGTCTCAAGTTCAAGGACTAGTTGCACGGCTATCACATAAGAACGAATGGCACAGACACTTGAGTGCAATACCAAATGGAATTCTCATAGTAGGTCATATTCAGTGAACTTGTTTTTTAACAAGCACCCACATGTTATCTTCAAGTATCCCATATACTTCAATCTATGAGATCAATTGCTTACTTCTTAAATAAAGAGGCTTAACATGTATCAATCTTTGAGTATTATCGATGCCCTATTTTGCCAATATAATGACTAAGAATAATTTTAGAAACATGACTTTGATGTATGAAGATCTCATAATTGTAACAATTTTACAATTCTCTTACAAGGCTTTTATGTTCCATGGACTTTATCCAACTTGTATTTAATAACTCTTTATTATTACACTAACATAAAGGAAAACTTCTATCAAATGTAGTTAAGCGATTAAGTATGTATTAAATGACAATATCTATTCTTTGATCAATCTAATTGGCTCAAAAACATACACCTACAATAACTAGACAAACTATAAGCTTTAAGTTAAAGTAAAAGTCTTCCCTACAGTCATAGACATGTGGAAAAGAAAAGGCTGTTAAAAAACATTAACACTTTTTTTTTTGTTACACATTGGATCTTCCAAAGAAGTATGCATGGACCACTTGGTTTGATTTACAGTTCAACTACCAGAACCATCACAGAAGGCAAACAATAATTCAAAATGGAAGGACAAACATAATGTAACTAAACCTTCAAAAAAAAAATTATGGCAATTTCACTTCACAGATAAATTTAACTTAAAAATTAGCTGCATAAATTCTTGTTTGGAAGAGTAACTCTTCAGTAATCGGAAAATTTTAAGAATTTTGCTAATTAGTCAGGAAAAATGATGGGTTATGCATGTCAATTACATCTATATTTATTTTAGTAGAGAGCAAAAAATAAAAATATTTTTAGGAAGAACCAAAGCATCCCAACCATATGCCGGATTTTTCAGGAATTTTAAAAAATAGCAGTCTCATATTCCATAGAGAAATCTTTCAGAAATTAGCTAATTTATGTTGATAAGATGATTAACTCTAGCCAATTGGAAACAAAACCCCAATCCAAAAATGCAGCAAGTCTGCAGACCCGTCCTTCAAGTTGATTGAAAATTGAATTTAGCTTTTATTAATGTTGTACCACAAGTGGTCCAACACCTGTCAAGTTGGTCATTCTCGAGGTCCCAGGGGAAGGATAAGTTCTAAATGCTAAGCGACAATTAAGGGTCATGCAGGAAAAATCTAGCTTAGGTATATTTAAGTCTCCTTCAATCACTAAAGCTTTTTTGTTTCTATAAGAACGTAAACTCTTCCACCAGGGACCTTTGGAAAAAGAAGGTTACATATTTCAGACTAGTAACAGTGAATATGGAAATGACAATAGAAAAATGTGGATTAGCTGTTCAAGAAATGTTGATGGAAGAAAAATGCTAGTCAGACTAAGCTTTTCTCCTCTTAACTTTGAAGTTTCTTTGTTTCTTTTTTCCTGGTTGGCAAGAAATTTTGATAAAGCTATTCTCACGTTGATTGATAAGTCCTAGAAGATATTTCTTAGACAGGTTTGACTAACAACAGTTTCTTATAAACGTAGCTCATTTTTGTACCTTGAAATTATACTACAACTTATTAAATATTGGAACAAGGACCATTCTTTGTTCTACTTTAAATCTTTGAAATTTTGATTCATCGAGGAAGGAAGCAGGAAGCCCTCGCAGACAACAACGTACCAAATGGCCCCAGTTATGGTCAGAGAACAGATAAGAAAGCTACAAACAACTACTTACAGCTTGGAAAAGAAACCAAAATCTAGCTTTGCAATCTGACTCTTGTGTAATAGGATATCATTTACTGCCCCCTTACTTTCATAGAGAAGCTTATTCCAAGCAATTTTTCTTTTCCAAGCCTGGCAACTTTAGGCACGGCATCTGAGGAGTTTTTACAAACTTTCTACTGTTTCTTTCTCAAGATAAAATCGCAGCGAGTTAGTATGAAAATAAAAGTTGGCATTCGATAGAGCCTTTAAAGTTGATAATCAAGTTTCAAACATAAAAACTTATACTCAAAATTAAAAGAAAATATAAATTTATTCAACAATTCAAAAAGATTAATTGCCTAATAACTAAGCATAATTGTGCTATTTATAGTAGCGTAATCTTACTTGACCTAAACTTAGAGTGCAAGTAAATTAAAATAAAAAAGCATTCTACCCTAAACTTTATCGGAATACAAGAAAAGTAAACTTCTAAACCTATGCTTACTTGTCATCCGAGTAAAATAAAATAAAAGTAAAATTTTATTATACCTATAATTCCTAATAAGACTTCTAACTAAATAAGGAAAATACTAAAATTACTTGTTAGACTATCTATGTCATTCCCCTCCCTTTGAAAAAGACTCTACCTGGAGTTAACTTGTACATCTAAATATAAGGGTTCATCTAATGAATGAAATGGATAAATATCCGCCTCATTAAATGTTTTGGAAATTCCCATCGTGTTTGGTAGATTCACAACGTATGCGTTGTCATTGATCTTCTTCAAAATCTAGTATGGTCCATACTTCTTAAGCTGTAACTTACTATAAGTTCCCACTAAAAACCTCTCTTTTTGCAAAAATACCATCACCTAATCTCATACTTCAAAAAATCTACTTTCTGCGATGTTGATTTGTAGCTTTCTTGTACTTGGCATTAGCTTACTCTAATTTTTGTTTTACCTCAGCTTGAACATCTTGCAACTAATTAGCCATATTTTCGGTAGCTACACTAAATCCTCAAACTTTAAGTAGTTTGATCAAGTCAAAAGCATGCTGAGGTGACTTTGTGTAAATAATAGAAAATGGAGGTTTTCTTGTGGCACTATGAACAGCACTATTATAAGCAAACTCTGCTTGTGCTAATGCAAAGTTCCATTGCTTTGGTTTATCACCACAGATACTGTGAATCAGATTGCCAAAGGTTCTATTCACCGATTCAATTTAATCATCAATTTGTGGATGAGCTGTGCTACTATAATTCAAGGATGAACCAAACAACTTCTACAAAGTCCTCCAAAAATGGCTAAGAAACTTGCTATCACGATCTAAAGTGATGGTTTTAGACACACCATGCAGACAAACAACCTCTTTGAAAAGAAATTTGGTGATTCTGCTTGCATTTAAATTCTTTTTGCAAAGGATAAAGTGCATGCCATTTAGCTTAAGAATTGGAAACTTGTATCCAACAATAATCTTGTAGATGGCTTGACTATCCACAAAAATCCTCGAACCCCCATCCTTGTTTGGGGTTAATAAGGCGAGAACTACACATAGACTCATGCTTTTTTGGATATGTTCTTTACATAATAATTCCTCCACTTTCTTTTTGAGAATCGCCAATCCTACAATGAGGCAAATTTGGTAAACTAGCATCAAAAATCATATCAATATGTGTTGAATATCCCTCATGGGTGATAAACCGTTAGGTAAATGTTATGGCATCACTTCACTGAATTCTTCTAGTAACAGTTTGACTGTTTCTGGATGCTCTACTACTCTTTGATCTTTTTCAATTGACAACACTTATTTCACAATCAGAGCGTGCACCTCTTTTAACTCTTTGAAAGTAGCCTTTATCTCACTTTTTGAATAAGTAAGGGTAAAGAAAGTCCACCCTCCACTTTAGAAGCTTTGGTTTTGACATTTTCTTTCATTGGCACTAAAGTAAACTTTATGCCATCCTTCCCTAATTTGTAGGTGTTCACTCTCTCATCATGCTCTGTTACAACATCAAATTGCTAAGGTCTACCAAATAATAAGTGACAAGCATCCCTATCCACAATATCAGAATATACCATCCTTGTATTTGCCAATGGGAGAAAGTACCTTACATTGTTTTGTTACATGAATTTTCTCTACTACCTTAATCTAACCAATAGTGTATGGATTAGGGTGCTTTTTAGCTTTAAGATCTAAACTTTCCTTAACATCCTTATTGATAATAGTTTCAAAGAATATTGTGTTAATCTTGAATATTCCTTAATATAACAACTATATATTCTGATATTTATGGTTTAGATTTAATTTTAGAAGAAAATATCTTAAAAGAAATTACACAAAGGAAGATAACAGTCCAATCGACATACTTAATCATATTAGAACATTCAATTCTTTTTCAAATGCATATATTGCTTTTAGAATAATAAAAGAAGTTTTTCAAAATTAAAATTAATAAAATCTTATTTAAGATCAATAATGTCTCAAGAAAGATTAAATGGATTAACAATGTCATCAATTGAAAAAGAAATATTAGAAGAACTTAATTATAAAAAGTTTAATTAGAAATTTTTTATCTCAAAAAGCTAGAAGAATAAAATGTCAATAAATTTTTTTTATTTTTAATAAAAAATGCATTATTTGAATTTTCAGTTTTAGGCTTTTGAAGTTATTGAGCTAGCCCTAAAGATTTATTTTGTGGTTTTGTTGAAGTTTTTGAGAGCTTATTTGAACTGCTTTTTTTTTTTCTTAGCTTAAAAGCTATTATAAAACTCTTATGAAAAATAATAGCTTTTAAAATTATGTTAAAATTGTTCGATAAATTTATTTTTATAAGCTCTTCTTTTTATAAATAAACTCTTTGGTAAAACAATTTATATAAACTCTAATTTTGGTTAAAATTATCATAAAAGATATTTAATAAATGAGCATATTTTTGACAAGTTAATGTTGAGATTATTTTTAATAGATGAGAACATTTTTGAAACAAAAAGAAAAATTCTTCTGAAAAGCTAGCATGTTTTTAAAAAAAGAAAAGATAGAGCTCCTCTTTAAAACTTTTCTTGAAGCTTTTTTTTTTTTAGGATTTGTTCATTAAAAAACATTTACTTTTTTTAACAGTTTCTTAAAATCCTATTTAACTTGGCTTTGGACTTGTTTTCTATCAAAGAATTGGGTGGACAATTGTAAACAACTTTAATGACTGAAGGCAATTTCTTCTTGCTTTAGACTTACAAGCTAAGGCGTAAAAAATAAATTTCATTGGTTCAATATTAAATCTTACTAGTATTATATTTCAATCGCATTATATTTTGTCACCATAAATTTATTTTTAGTTGTTATAGCGTAAAATTAACAGAATAGTACACTTTTTTTAAAATAGAACTAATTATTATTTTTAAAACATGGTAACAACGTTATTTTGAACATTGAATTTTATGTTTGTTATCTTTACTTTTCGGATAATACCAAATTTAGCGATTGGTAATAATTGCTCTTATATAATGACATTTACTCGATGAGCTCTTATCATAATGGTTAGGATTCAGGTTTAAAGTTCATCTTACTTGAGATTTGTCTAAGTTAAAGTTGATTTGTTTTGTTAGTTAGTGTCTAAGAACCTTTAGGTTTCAAGTTAAAATCGCACCATATGTGAGTTTAGTCAAATTTTTTTGTTGATTTATTTAGTTTGTTGATTTGGTTAATTAATTTTTTTTCATAGATGTGATATGCGAAAAATTTCTATTTGTAACTATAACATTATAAAAAGAGAACCTCAAGTACATAAACATTATGATGGAATCGTTATGTATAGCTTTGTGGAATATTAACTGTTTTCCGACCATCACCTTGCCAATAATACGAAATCCTTAATGGTATTTATAAGTTTTTACTTAAAGAAATATAATTAAAATTGTTCATACTTTATAACCAAAAAAAAAAATGAAGAATCATATATAGCTTACGGAAGTAGTTGTTATCATATTATCCTGCACTATTGAATGAATAGAGTTTTGGTAATTTTAGATTATATTCTTTTAATTCTGTCCATGGCAGGATAGGTATTTCATATCATTTATTTTATTTTTTGTATAAATGGTTAAATCATATATATGGAGCTACATATATAAAAGAATTTTTTTTATTTTTTGAGGAAATAGTGAATTTCATTACTCAACACTAAAGAATTACAACATAATCAGGACAGACATACATTTATAACCCCTTATATTGTAATTTCCTATGACATGTAGAAGAGCCTCATTAAAAATTTTTTCATGGAAAAATCCATTGGGATAAAACCCATAAAAAGGAAAAAGAGTACCCCTACCATGTCCTAACCCCTTTGCGCAAATTACCCATTCCAAAGCAAGTCTATCTACCTCCAATGCTCCTTGTACAGTAGCTGGCAGATAAGAAACATCCCTCCGTGTAATCCGATTCACCCCTAGATCGTTGACAGACATTGCCAATTCATGTGCAACCATGTGTGCTTCCCTTCGACAAAATTCAATGGGGGAGCGTCCAAGCTATCCCATGGCAATCACACAATCTTCAACCACATGGCCCATTTCACTGTTATACTGTCTCTTCTTAACCCAATTTGTAACCTGCATACAATCAACTTCAATCGCTGCATCACAATTGATCTTCAATCTAGACGAACTCCTCCACCACCATTCTTTAGCCTCTATTTCCGCTCAATTGGGCCTGGGTGCAGAGACTGCATCGTGATACTAATGGCACATATTAAAAGCCAACTCAACCACCTCTATTGCGTCTTTCCTTTCCTGCTTAAAAATCAAAGCAATTCCTTGCTTTCCACAGTGACCACGGAACACAGATTATCTCCTCCAACTCATTTTTACCCATCTGCTGAAGCAAATCCTTTAACAAATCAATAGCAGATGAAAAGTGACCAGCAATATCTCTGAAGCCCCATTCAGTGGCAATCCATACAGCTTTAGCGAAAGGGCAATTACGAAAAATATGGAAGTCTGTTTTTAGCCCTTCATCGCAAAAGGTACAACCCGAATCAACATTAAGTCTTCTTTGAATTAGAGCAGCTCTTGTAGGAAGACATCCATTAATCATTCTCCAAGCAAACATGTTTATTTTCCTGTGTATTCTCAAGCTCCACAATTTTCTCCAAATGGATAACATATGAATAGAGGTGCTTGCACCGTTAAACCCTTCTATCTCTGAACATAACAACCTGTAACCCAATCTCACCGTATAGTCCCCTCCTTTGCTATCAAACCACATCGGATGATCAACTGGCCTTCCTACACTTAATGGTAGAGATAAGATTAAATAATTTCCATACGGCGGAAAGCCAATTCTTATTTTTTCTTCATCCCATCTCATCTGGTCTGCCAGAATAAATTCACTCACCTTAGTCAAATCGTTTACCTTAGCATCACAAACAAGAATCGGCCTAGGGTTATCATATGGTATCCAATTACTTTTTTAACCAAAATAGAACTTCCATCACCTACCCTCCAAATGAACCTCCACCAATTAGAGCCTAGCTCTTTCTAATACTTCGCCATAAATAGCTCAAATTAACAAGATTAAAAATACGACTGTCCCTTAATCCCATTCCGCCAAAATGTTTTGATGTACACATTCCCCTCCAATTCTTCCAATGAATTTTAGCATCTACATCATTCCCTTCTGTTAGCATAGAAGTCTCAATAAGTAATATACCAAGAGGGGTGAATTTGTATTTAAAGACTCTTTTGAAAAACTAAGTTTAAAAATCAAGACTTTTGAAACCAAAGATTTCTTCTTGTGTCAAAAGTAAAGTGTGTGACTTTTTTAAGCAAGTTTTCAATAATAAATTGAAAATGATAAACAAAAAATTAAGGTAAAATATTTTCCTAATCCAAATGCAAGCAAAGAATAAATAATCAATCAAGATAAAATATTTTCTTAAGCTAAATGCAAGTAATAAATCATAATGTGGAAAAATTAAAAACAAGACACAAGATTTTTATAGTGGTTCGGCTTTCTCTAGTGCCTACATCTACTCCCTTGAAACACCAAGGAATTTCAAATTCATTAAGGGAAATAAGCTGTTTACGGGATTAAGTGAAACACTCATAATGTTTTTTCATGAGATCAAGGGAAACCCTTACAATGCTTTTTCATAAGATCAAGCAAAACCTTTCGACAATGGTTTTTATGGACTCAATCACAAACCCACAAATAGGTTTTTAAGAGTAAGTTAGAATCTTTACAATAGAGTACAAAGTTTAGCAAGAAAATGCCTTTACATAGGTGCTAGGAGTTTAAGCTGGAGTTTAAGCTTGAGTATAATGAGAGAAGAAATTTCAGCTTAAATGAAGCAAGTATAGGACTTTTCAAATCTTTATGGAAGACTAAAATGAAGCTAGAGAGTGAGGATAAGCTTTTAGAGGTCTCTCTAAGGTTTGAAACTTTATCTCAAGTCTTCTCTTACTTCTAAATGGTTCAAAACCGACTATTTATAATTGGTGTGAAGTTTGGAGTCGTTAAACACAAGTTTGAATTAAATCTGACCATTGTTGAAGCTTGAGGGTTGACTACAACACTCCTAGGGTTGACTATATTCTTCAAAATTTTCAAATTAGGGATCCATAATCAAGAATAGCCTTCTTTTACTCAATCCAATTCTCGAGAGTATGATTTTTGCAAGTCTGAGCTGCTATAGTTGCCTATGCCTTTGCTAAGATCGATTGCGTCTCTTGATTTCTCTCTTTTTCATGCATTAAAGTAGCTAGGATCTACTATTACTATTCCAAGGTCGACAATGTCTATGTTTTCTTCCAATTTCAAGCTTTCTGAATCAAGGTCGACTATAACCACTTCAAGGTTGACTATGGCTTTGTATACTTCAAGTTTTTCACTATTCTTTCTTTGGACCGACTAGAGCTTCTTAAGGATCGACTCTTGTGTCTTGAGGTTTCCTTAGCACTTTGGTGCCTTTCTTTAACTATTTCTTCCTTACCTTGTTTCTAAAATCAAACAATAATTCAAGGCATGTTTGCTCTTTGTTTTCTTAGCTTAATATGCATTATTTGAAAGCTTTTATGATATTTTTTAATGATGCACAGTTTCTCAAACAATTATGTGACCTCAGGAGATTAAAAATATATTTGACGTAATTTCAAATACTTGATATTTAGTTCAAGATAATATGTAATTTTTGTTAAATCGAAACATTATGCAATTCAAGGCTAACAATCTCCCCTTTTTTGATATGACAAAAACAAGAGCACATTGCATTTGAATTTTCTTGAAACCTCCCTTTAACTTAATTAGTCTCTATGCCCTTGTCAAAAACATTTTAAGTGTAAGTGAGAAGGATATAAGAAATGAATATGAACTTTGAAAATTTTCCTTCTCAATTTATGCATGAAGTTCAAAAATGTTTTCAAGAAAAATTCAATTATATAAGAGTATTTCAATGTACTCATAAACCTTCTCCTCTTTTTTGTTATATCAAAAAGGTTAAGAAGTGTGAGCATTAAGTACTTAAACTCCAGAGACAATAGTTAGCGATAATCATCAAGTAAAAATAAGCATTAAGTTCAATAGTAAACTCTAACCATCAAATCAAAACATGAGATATATTTTCATGCAAAGATATTCAATTAAGATATCAAGAAATATATACATTCTTCATAATATGAGAGCATTAAATCAAGATTTATTTCCAATCAATATATATTCAAGCAAAGTAAGTCATAATATATTTCTACTCAAGATATGCAAGTAAAGCATAAAAAAATATATTCAACCATTGCAATTAAAGCACAATATATGTCATCATCAAGAATGCCACATACAAATATGCATACATAAGCAAAGTGTGAACATTTCATCCTTTAAGTTTAAGTTGGATATACATATATATAAAAACAAGCATAATCAAGCATAAAACATTTATAATATGCACATAATGTGAACATGATGTGTATGAGTAAGATGTGTGCAACTTCTATACTAGTATGTTCGCATACTCATTCGAACAAATAATCAAGTAACATATTGAGTGCACAACCAATTATAGTAAGGAGCATGGCAATCATTATTCAAGCACAAATGTGAGACATTATTAAGCACACGTTAATATGGTGTTTAAAAAATATTATCAATAGAGATGAACACCATTTGCTAAGATCTCACCAAGCTAATTGTTCAAGATTTCAAGTGCTCAACCATCATAGGACAATGTCAATGATCAACTTCCCCTTAATCATCTATTAAATTACTTCTAACAGGGAGAAGGAGTTAAATGGTTAACCACATTAAAGCATAATCTTACCTTCCCTTATGAGACAAAAAAGGGAATAAATCATGAACATATGATAGATAAATGGTTAATCAACACGTTAATCAAATACTCAACCATTCATGGAACTAGCAAAATATGAGCATTTAAATAAGTATTCAATATATGCTTCTAACACTAATAACTTCTAGAAGTGTATGCACATTAATTCCAATACATGTCCAAGATATCATATTTCATTAAGCATCTTTTTCAATTATGCATTCTCCAAGCACTATCATTTAAACATCTTAAAGAAATTCTCTAAAATATATAAGAATAACAATTTAAGAGAGAATTTTCTCAACAATAGTATGTCACCATGAAAATGTCATCATTAAGCCTTTTTAGTAATCTTTTTTTCACAAAATTTCACACAAGCATTTCAATAACTGTTCTCCAAAATATGTATAAGACTATTAATTCAAGGAGAAGTTTTCCCATCAAGACAATATCATTATCAATGAAGCATTACCAAGGCATTTTACACTTGTTGTAATCATATATGAGGCTTTTATGATCAACTAGGTACAAGCATGATCACATGTAATAACATGGCTATCTTCATTAATTATGATTTTAATTATTTTCATCGAAATGCAAGCAAGGTTTCAATTTTCAAACATATAAACATATATTATCAAGAATATGCAAACATTGAATTTCATTCATGTATGCTATTTTTAATGATCTATGATTCATAAGTGATACCAATTGTTATGAAATAATGAAAATAAAGCATTTGATTCATGAATATCTCTGAAGTAAGCATCCAAGCATTAATGAATACCAATAGTCAAAATTCTAGAAATAAGCATTCAATTGATAACTTATAAGCTCAAGTTGGATGGACGCAAGGTCTTTAGATCATGCAAGCATTTAAGCTCATGGAAAACATAGTTAACATTTAAATGCATATTCAAAAATATTTCAACTATATCATCACAATATATGTTATGATCAAACATAACAAGCAAATTCATATTCAAATGCAAAGCTCAAGTCAAGTTTTAAACTTTAAACATTAAGGTCAAGAAAGAATATCTTGTAAGCATGTGACTTGATAATGGATGATAGATGAAACAAGAATATTTCTCACGAAGTTGAAAGAGTTCATCATAATCAATTTCGTATGCTTAATCAAGGAGTTGTTCTTGAAATAAACATTTGAGCACAAACATAAGGTGTTTTTCAAGTATTGTTCCTAGACTAAACATTTGAATATTTCACTAGTAAGGAAAGATATTTCAATGAAACCACATGAAGATTCAAAATGGATTAATAAGTTTAAGCATTTGCATCTTGTGGTGAACTTGTTCAAGCCATAGATCAATATAACCTCATATTACCACCATATCATCCTTATCAAATTATTTGTGTTCAAGTGTAAGTGCATCTCATACTCACATTTCTTTGCAACCAACAATTTTGCACAATCAATATTCAACCATATGTTTTGAAACAAATGCAAAGTAAACTACACTCAATGGTCAAATAACTAATCAATCAAATTTCATTTAATCAAGCATTCTTCAAATTTAAAAGAAATAAGGAAGTAGATATCATAATTTTTCATTTGATGTTCAACCTTTTAATTGCTCTTCCTTGTTAGTGATACCTATAAAATCACTTTAACTTAATATTTGGTATCCAAATTGTTTTGAATCCTTGAGGGTTAGTCTCATCAAATATATGGACAAGATAGTAAGTTGAAAAATGAATGCAATAGAAATTAATTAGTTTATAAGAGTTCCTGCTCTTAATTTCTTATCTTTCCTTTCCTTCAACAATACTTTTTAATTATCAATTTTCTTCTTATAATCAATCATAGTTTCTTTGGAGTATTTCAACATCAATTCTTAGTTAATTGTTTTCTTTGATCAATGATTCATTTTCTATCCCAAGATTTAAAATTTTCTCCTTTTGACTTAAGCTTAGTTCTTGAAATGAAAGAGCTAATTCTTCAAACACACTTTCTAATCCACTATTTGTAAAGACAAATGATTCATGGGATGGAAATCCTACCTCATGGCTTAGTATTGAATTTTGG